TAATAAGATTTCATATACTTGCATCTATTGTGGTATAGAAAAAGCAAACAGGGTCTCACATTGATTGTTTTAGAAATAATACCAATATCTTAAAACTTCTTACTCATTCGGGTTAATAAATGGATAAAACGTTGAGACCAAATGGGCCATAAGCCCAATATGTTGCATAATAATTTTTTATTTATATAACTTCTAAAAAAAAAGTAATATATATATATATATATATATATATATATATATATATATATATATATATATATATATATATATATATATATATATATATATATATATATATATATATATATATATATATATATATATAATATATAATTAATTAAGGAGATTAAAAAATAAAAGATATAAAATAAAAATATCTACATGAATTTAAAAGAATGATTAAAAAAAACTCACACTTTTATAAAATAAAAGAATCTTTGCTGCAATATGCTAGTTACGGGTGTATCTGAGATAATCTAAGAATTATAAATGGGATTTTAAACAAAGTCTTTTACAAGGACCTAAAGTGAATCTCATTAATATTATAGAGAAATATATTTAATACTTTTTTAATAAGGACTAAAAACATATTAAACTCTTTATATTATTACAAATATTTATTTTAATATTTATAATAATATAAATATAATAAATAATAGTAGTTCAGATTTTTATTTAAAAATTTTAAAATCATAAATAATTATTAACATTTAAAGTCATAAATGATTAAATAAACCAATAATTAATTATATTTATAAGAAATTCAAAATATATAAATTCATAATTAATATTCATTATTAATTAAATTTATCTCATTAATGGATATTTATATTTACATTTCAATTGAGAATATATATGATGTTTTTTTGACAATAGTAAACTTAATTCATTTTATTATTCAAACAATGTTCAATACATGGAGGTATCAAATATGGAACCATAGGCCAAGGCAAAGAATTGGTCACTCTAGCTAAGTTATGAGCCACCGAATTCGCTTGACGTTTTAAAAACTTTAGCTCAAAGTGATGGTGAACAACAAGAAGATTCTAAATACTAATAATCATACAACAAGAAGTTATGTTGTTGATTTAAAATCTCTCTATCATCGTTATTACTATTAATTCATATTATTTAATAATATTAATAATATATTATTATTATTATTATTATTATTATTATTATTATTATTTTATATACCACCTAGCCGCTAGAAAAAGAAACTACTTGAATTTGGAGAATGGCTCGACACCTACATGATGAAAATAAGTGCATATAGCTATAAGGTCATTGAAGAATTTTGTTGTAGAATGACGGGCACAGTGAAAGAATGATATCACAATCGTGGGAATTTCAAACAAGATAAGTAACATCGTCTAGAAACCACATCTAATATCCTTGGCGTACTCTACCATAAATTTATTGGAGATATGAACATGTTTGATAGAAAAACAGACATGAATTATTTGAGATGAAGTGTTGTTCCCTCAAAATAAAAGACATCGACAAACACTATCACAGAATGGCACACAAGTTTTATCTCCTCAATGGATACAATGATCCTAGTCTCAATAATACCTATGTATCCTCTCTACCATACGAAATCCAGCCAAAAATCCATAGGATGGTGGCAACAGGTTCATTAGGTGACGTTAGAAGCACTTGAAAAGCTTTGTAGTTTTCATCGTCAATTTTCAAAAGTTATAGAACAAAAACCAAAATTCACCAAGGCATGTAAGAAACCTTATCTAGAGATTAAGTGTAAAGAGAAAAGGTGCAGTTATGGAACAAAAAAGAAACATTGTCATCGAAAATACTCCAAACCTCATATGACCTTTAAGGGAAAGAAAAAGAAGGATATGGAGTTCTTTAAAAGAAAACCTTTCAGAGGAAAGGGGAAAAAATCAGAGATTCTTTATTAGTGGAAAAAAAGAACACTTGTCTAAGGAATGTCCTAATAATACCCACAAAGCCGCGTAGCTGATAAACTCTCTCCAACCTCAAGAAGGAGACCTAGAATATTTGTATTCTGAACAAAGCTCTGCTGATGAAGAAACAATTTTTGCCCTTCGAGACTCTTCGTATGACAAAGCATCATTTTATGAATTAAAAGATACCAAATATTTCCATGATTACTCCATCAAATAGATAGTAAGTTCTCATCCTACTCCACAACTCCCTTGTGATGAAGTTCATAGAAACTGGGGCCCATATTACAATGATGAATCCTAGTATACTCCCAGCAGAATCATGGGTAACACATGTTGTATACTTTGTAGCAACAAATGGAAAAGTCTTCAGGATAGATTTAATGACCAAGGAAAAGATAGGAATCAAATTCTTCCCCGACTGCATAGTCTAGACCAAGGTCATTGGCAGCAATCTTCCAAATAAAGATATTATATTAGGAATATATGTATATGCAACAACCAATGAAATTCAAATTCTCCCCACAAGAATCAAATTCAAAAGAGAATTCAAACCTTATTCTGGAATATTGAAGTTATATTCACTATCTAAAACACCTGCTGGGTTTGAAGAAATCAAGTCCAACCTACTCAAACTCTGTGCAGACAGCCGTGAAATATTCTGGCATCTAAAACCTCTATGAAAAATTAAAGACTTTTTTGTTCAAATTATTTTTAAGATCAATGATGATGTTAATACAACCAAGGCCACTCATCCAATAATGAGTCCATGAAATTATACATTAGCCAGAGAAGAATGAAACCAATTGCTCAAACAAGGTCTGATAGAACCCACAAAGTTTGATCTGAAAAGTTGGGAGGAAAAAAGAGGCTAGTAATTGATTAAAAACCTCTAAATAATTTACTCAAAGATGATTAATTTCCCATTCCAAAAGCCTCATCCTTAAATATTTTCATCAAAGATGCCTCGATCTATTCCAAATTCGATCTTATGTCAGGATTTTGGCAATTGGGTATCGTCCATGAGGATCGTTACAAAACGACTTTCTGCATTCCTATTGCCCAGTACCAATGGACTGTGTTACCATCTGGGCTTAAGGTAGCTACGTCGCTTTTTCAAAAGGCCATGACTAGAATTTTTGAGTCCATTCTCAATAGTATCCTCATCTATACTGATTATGTGCTCTTATTCTCAAAATATGAAAAAGCCCATAACCAACTATGGGGAAAATTCCTTCAAATAACCCAACGACATGGAATGATGCTCTCTGAAAAGAAAATCCAATTGGGTCAAACAAAAATGATTTTTTAGAGATGCATTTCTCCCAAGGAAAATATCAACCTCAACCTCATATTGCTCAAGAATTATTAAACTTTCCTGATGAAAATTTCACAGTTGAGCAAATTCAACAATTTCTTGGTATAATTAATTATATAAGAGATTTCCTGCCAAAGTTCGCGAGATACACGAGTCCTCTTGTCCCAAATGTTGAAGAAAAAATCTCCACCATGAGGAACAAAGCAAACTGAAGCATTACGAGCTTTGAAAAAGATCGCAGAAACTCCACCCGCCTTAAAGATATTTGGGAACGTTAAAAGAATCTTACAAACGGATGTCAGTGATCATTATTGGGGAGTCGTCTTAATAGAGGAAATTGATGGAATAAAGTATTATTGCGGTCATGCTAGTGGCCAATTCAAAGAAGTTGAAAAACATTACCATACCACTTATATGGAAGCTCTTGCAGTTACAATGGGTATCCAAAAGTTTGACTTTCAGTTGAGAGGCCATCAGTTTGAAGTTCAGATGGATAATTCCTCTTTCCCTAAGATCCTCGAATTCAAAAATAAGAAGCCTCTTGATCCTCAAACTCTTAGGCTCAAAGATTGGTTTTTCAAATATGATTTTACTGTAAAACATATCAAAGAAACTCAAAATGTGATCTCTAATTTACTCTCTAGGCCTATGAAGCTCATCTAGATCATTACTGCCAAGCACACTTTTCCTTTGATTTTTATGGTCAAACCATTGCAACCCATGCATCCAGAACCAAAGGCTTTCCTCCAGGAATTATTATATCCTCTTCACACTCATAGCTCAAGCAGTATGCCAAGAATAATCTTTTTTATTACATGACAAAAATCATAAGGAATAAACTCTCTGACCATACTCCTTATTTCCCAGACACACCATTTCTCCTATCAATTTTAATAACTCTAATGCTAAATTCACAAAAAATAATTTGTGGTATATCTGGTGTGCCACAACTTTGTATTTTATGCATATCCTCATATCCCTCGAAGCCATGTATGAACACATAATAGATCACAAGAACCACAAATCCCTTATTTGGATTATTCTTGAATGGTACGCTCCACTAACATGGTGGAGAAATCAATAAAAATCAGTCCTAGATGAGGTCTAAGAAAGAGGATTAGCCTCAGAGGCTATTAGCAAATTCAAAACTGTTTTCGTTATGCACAGGCCCTATCAAACAGATTCTGCCACTAAGTTACTTGATTGTAAGAGTTATGTTCATATATGGGAAACCATTGATGATTATCTTCCCTGTTTAAAAGTTACAAGAGAATTAATGAAATGTGTCAACTTCATCAACCTCCACGAACTAGACAAGATGAATGATAATATCACTTGCATAAATCATGAAAAATTCGAAAGCTGAAAGAGAATTACATAAATCACATGTTTATGGTAGAATCATTTAGTGGAAACCTATTGAAGCTATCCATCTTTAAGGGGTTCAATAGGAATTTTCAGTGATTTAGTACATGTTCCTCATGATATATATCCTTTGTTTTCACCTTTCATTGGCACCGAAAAAAGTTATACTCTATTAATTCCGACTCCTAATGACTAACACGTTTATTAAAATACAAAAGTTTGATTTTGACCTTTAATGCATTTAACATTACATCATATGATATCAAAATATTATGATAGTATGCATCCATGTGGTAATAACACGGTGAGTGTCAACCATAGAAATTAGTATGCAACAAAGACAAACAGTTTAAAGAAGACAACATTATTATACTGATTAATTGCAGCCAGTTTTATGAAATGCATCTTTTAGTGACCTTGACCTTCAAGCCATGTTTCATTCCAAGAGAAATAGAAAGCTTTGGGGTTACAGGGTGTCCTTCCACCACCTGTATCTGAAACATCCATAACATAGCAGCTGCAACCATTTTCATTTGAAAGAACGCTAAATTTTTACCCAAACAACTTCTAGGACCTGCATTGAATGTTACAAACTTGTATGACGGTACATGTATGATTTTTCCTCTCGGTGATATCCATCTCTCCGGCTTAAATTCTTTGCAATCTTCTCCCCATATTTCTTCCATCCTTCCCATACTATACATAAAGTAAATTAACTTTGTATTTGGACTAACATCTTGTCCACTAGGTAACACATCAGATTTGATTGCACATATATGCTCAAATGGTATTGGAGGATAAAGCCTTAAAGCTTCACATATAGCTGCATGGAGGTACACTAGCTTATCAACCTCTTCCAAACATAAACTAGTGATCAAATTCTCCTCTTGTGTTGGATAACTATCTTTAATCTCTTGAATAATTTTAGCTTCAACAATAGGATGATTTGAAACAAGCCAGAAAAACCAACTGAGACCTGAAGTAACTGGACTATTTCCTGCTAACAGCAAAGTGGCTGCTGTGTCTCTAACATACTTCTCACTCATTTCCTCCTTTCCATTTTCTTCTTTTGTCAGTGCTTTCATCATGTCGAAAAAACATTCGTCCATATCTTTGCGTTTGGAAAATGCACTAATACGTTCGGACAAGAATCGGTTGAGATTCTCTGAGGCTACCTTGTACTTGTTCTCCGGACCCACACGAAGCCATTTTTGCACCCTCCATAGACAAACCGGAATGAAATGCCTGTAAAAAATCACTTGCTCTATTACATGAGGAGATTTTAGATAAGAAATATCTCGAAGCTCACTAAACTTGATTGGAAGGGAATTCGGATCAAATCCGAATAAAGTGACGATTATGTTGTCAAATGTGAACCTTCCAAACACATCTTGCAAGTCCACCTGGATACCTAGTTTAGATACATCATTAAGAAATGGTAGTAGGCAGTTCACCAACTTATTCTGTATGGTTTTTTGGAACAAGTTGTTGAAGCTTTTACGTTTCAGAATTGACTGAACCATTATTCTCTCCTGTTTCCAAACATGGGAATTGACAGTTAAAATACTGTCTCCAAAAAAGTTAAAAATTTCTTGAAAGTTGTACCCTTTCCCGTAGTTGCCAAAATTCTTGCATGTGATATGCTCAACGTTGATTGGATCAGCGGTAACGATAAAGCTTGTGTCTGTGAACCAAGGCCCTTGAAATCGAAAAGTTCCTCCATGGATGTTCATCACTAAGGTTATATGATCATGCAAATCGGACATGTGACGCAAAAGCACCGGTAGCATACCAATTATTGGCCAATTTGGTAAAATTTCATCTCTGTTGCGTCTCCAAAAGTGAATGAATAGGAAGACTAGGATAGCTACAAATCCTCCAATGCATTCAATCATGTGCATTTTTTATTTACTAAGGTACGTTTCTAATTTCATGTGTTTATAATGCAAGTATTCTTAATTGACTTGCTTTCTCTTCCACCCCATTAATGTGGAGAATTTAGGTGGTTTTGTTAGATGAATTATTTAATTGGGTGAATTATGAAAGAATGCTTTTATTGCTAATAGATAAATGGTGGCTAATAGACAAATGGTGGCTGGTGTGTTAGTTTTGAATCACGTGGTGTATTTTGCTAGAAGGGCGGTGCTATTGTGCAAAAAAATACTCGAGTGCACGAACGCTCGAAAATCAACAAGAATTGTCATCGAAGTTTATTTTTAAAAGTAGAAATATCGATAAAATCCTAAAAGAATAAAAATATCGTAATCGCAATCAATTTCTGATCCGGAAGTCGATTATGCGCGGAGAAGATATTAGCACCCAACATATTCGTTGTACTCAATGAGAACTGTTTAGTGAACTTTGCGAATAAGAGTGTTAGCTTAATTTATTTGATATCTTCTAATTATTGTGAGATATTTATAAGATGAAATAAATGGGGAAAAATAGTGTTAGGGCTGAGATTTTATGGTTGGCAACAATTTTGGTAAAACAAGTAGTTGGCAACAATTTTATCAAAATATGTTTCTTTTGGAAACCATATATTGCAGCCTAACGATAAGCAAGATGTCATGACATCTTGACCACACTACGCCAAAAAAGACCTAAGAAAGCATTTTTTTTGCCCTTTAGCAGTGCTTAAAAGCGCTGCATATGGTGGCGCTGTCGTAGGTCTAGACAACGCTTTTTTTAACGAAAAAGCGCAGCCATATGTATTCTTTAGCAACGCTTTTCCCTGGAAACACTGCGCCAAAAAAGACTTACGAAAGCGCTTTTTTGGCCTTTAAAAGCGCTTAAAAGCGCTTTCTTAGGTGGCGCTGCTATAGGTTTTAGCAGCGCTTTTTGTTTAATGAAAAGCGCTTTCGTAGGTCTACCTAATACAACACTTTTTCTAAAAAGTGCTCTCTTAAGTAGGCTTTTGGAAGTGCTTTTTTATGAAGAAGCGCTTTCATAGGTCTACCTAAGGCAACGCTTTTTTCTGGAAAAACGCTCTCATAAGTTTTCTTTTAGCAGCGCTTTTTTATGGAAAAGCGCTATCTTAGGTAGGCTTTTAGCAACGCTTTTTTCTGGAAAAGCGTTTTCATAGGTGGTCTTTTAGCAGCGCTTTTTCCTGGAAAAGCGCTGTCATATATTTACCTTAGACAACGTTTTTTGTGAAAAAACGCTTTCATAGGTTTTTTTTTAGAGGTATAATTTATATAATTCATATATCTGCATTGTTTGCAGCATATTATTTATATAAACCAGTTGTCATAACTTGTAATTCATAAACCGCGGTAATGCATTGTATACCATTGTACTCCAAAATATATATACACCATTTTTGTACCTCAAAATATATAAAAATCATTGTTATCAGCATTGTAACTCAAAATCAGTCTTACAAAATCAACCCTAACAACAACTAAACAAGTCCTAATGTATGAAAGAAACACGGTCAATTATGTATTAAGGTCCTGGTCCTGCGAGGTTTAAACATAATAACACGGTCAATATGGTATTCCATGTACACATGTAACGTATTCATAACACTTTTCACATAATAATGTATTCATACCTTATCTGATTCTCTACTCAATAAAATATTGACACAATTCCTCTTTGATTTCTTCCAACTGAAGTTTCGTGTAATATGCACATTTGTATTCATCGAAGTACTACATAACAAAACATAATATGCATGATTTAGTTAAAAGTAAAAAAATTATATGAAATATCCGAGAAATAATAAAAAAAATCTTAAGTTATAAATCCATACCGTGATTGAAATCTCTATTTGATTCAGTTGAAGGATTTCTTTGATAAACTGCATAACGAAGTATCCGCAATCTATACCGTTTTGCTGTTGAGGACACTACATAGAAAAACAAATAAGAATATATAGTTGTATTGTTTTATCAAATAGCATAAATATTATAAGCAAAATAGTGGAAATTAATATATTTGCACTTTGATCCAATTAATGTTGTTTGATTTAGACCGTCGTAGCCGAGCTTCTCTTTGACACCGGAATACTTGTATTGCTCTAACAAAATAAAAATATATATTTAGAATAATGTCACAGAAATAATTAAATATATAAATACACACAAATATTTAGAATAATCTCACTTACGTATCAATCATTAACTTCATATCCGGATAATTTGTCCAATCACCGTCAACCGAATTCAGATAATAGACCACTTCTTTTATACGATCGATAGCAACCAACAATCAAGGACGTCTATAAATTAAAACAACAGTTTAGAAGAAAATTTTCTACGCAAAAATTACAAATATTAAAATGAACTTATAATGAAAATCTAACCATGTAGGAATAGTATTATATGCCTAAAGATATAAGCTTTCTGTACTGCCAGTTGCCATGAATCTTTCGACTAAGTGCTCTCTTACTGAATCTGGTTCCCTACCAATTGTCGCTCCGCTGACATGGGAGGAAGACACGAAATGGAATCTGTTTGACAATTGATTCCCGCGCATCAATTTGTCATATAAAAACATAATTAATATTAGACTATATTCATTGAAATGTTTAAAAATAATTTCAGCTAATTACATAATATAAAGATGGGGTTACCGGATGTATGCGTGCATAATACTGACGCCTAATTCTTTATGATGCAAAATCTCTTCCACGTCCTCATGTCCAATTATTTCGGTGCAAGGAAAACCAAAGATACCTTGATCCATATCCATTTGACGAATACCACCATCCATCAAATTTGTTGTTCCCACTATTGTTTCAAGACACTGCCAGTATCGAGGGAAAAATCTAGTAGAAACCCTTTTCTTGGGTGGTACGCCAACGATTTTCTGGCTCACTTGTTGTGACCCTTGAAAAGGTACCTAAAAATCATATAGACTCAGTTAAATTATAAAATTATGCAGTTTTTTATTCGGATCATATAATTAACACTTTAAACGTACCTCTTTTTGTGATACATCAGACTCGTTGTGCCGCAAAATCCCTTTACCCTTAGATGCAGGTTTTGTAGGAGTCTATAATTACCGTGGAAATAACTGAGGTCGGAACTGACAGTTGAAGACTTAAAGATTCATAATGGTTTTCAACATACCTGATCATCTATGAAAATAAGGTCCGATGGCCATGCAACAAAAGATCCTATTGTATCTCGCAACAATGTGGTCTCAGCAACAATGTCAGGTACCGGCAGCAACGCATCCATATCTAAAGCAATATCAACCGATACTTTCATGTGTCCATCCGGAAGCGGTCTATGGTGAAGTAAATCTCCCAAAGTGTTATGGACTTTTCCCTTGCCAACTAGTCGATAAGTCGGCGACGATAGGTATAGCTGGCAAGATGAAATTCCATAAACCAATAATAACCGTTAGAAGTGACTAAAAATATTCTATAATAATAACGAATATATATTGAAAATTACCTCGGGAAATTTATGCTGACAGTTGATACTAGCTTTGTCACTAGTTTCTTTAAACTGTGAACTGCTCTTTTCCGCCATATATCTCTCTTTATCCTTCTGCAATTCACGGACTTGAGCTTGTAAATCCTGCAATGTTTGCATCACTTCTGCATTGCTAGGATTTCTTCTCCTTAGATGCTTATACAAAGAGGTTGGAGTCACACCATGACCTTTCCCCCTCACCCGACCCAGATACTCAGCAATATTTAGTGCTCAACTAAGTACGCTCCTGGTATCCTGATCCTCACTTGGGGATACCGATTGCGACAAGGTCTCCTGTAATTCATTTACATATCCAAAATTATTAGTGGAGATAAAAAATTATTTAAATATTAATAAACATTTGATTTAATTAAAGACATAATCTTATACTTACACATTCATCATACACATGTTGAAGATCGGGATTAACAACTTGATCCTTGCCCACACGAGCTTCCTTCCGCAACAAATGTGCTGGTAGTGATGTTGCGTCACTTTTTGTCTCTTCTAACTACGCATTGACACAAGTCTTAAGATCACCAATTATAACACATTGAGAGAATTAATAAGATCGTAGAGTTTATATTTACTTATAATTTTTTCCTCTAAGCGAGCATATCCTAAATGCCCTTTTTTGTATGGATATGCGGGTTTTGACGCTCTCTCGCGATTGATGGCACTCACTTTCTTGAAATTCTCGTCTCTTCTTTGGCCTACAAAACCAACCCATTCTTCAGGTGTAATGAAGTTCTCATATTTCTTTGGACGTTCCGGATCCTCTTCAAGAAAATTTTCTTCATCATCTTTAAGATACTTGTTTGTTAAAAATGTTCTCCACCCTCTATGTCTTTTTCCAGCCAAACCCATTATATACTTTTTACGGGTATCTTCAATGTTAAAAGATCTCTACAAAAAAACATATGCATAAAGTGTGTTAGTAAAAGAAATTTAAACACATATTATCGTCAAGATAAAGCAAATAACAAAAACCATATATGTACATTTATCTTAGTCCAAACTTTCTCTTTACCCTCATCCAACTCTCCTCTTTTCCATCTAGGAGTGGTGATCGGAATGTGTATACAAACAAGCGTATCAATGTAGCTTGTCAACTTTGCAGCATTAGACCCAATTAGTTGGTCATTATCATTCCAATCTATATTATATGTTACTCCTCTATCTCTATCACGGATGATTCCCCTCATAATAGTTATACCTCGTGTAATATCTTTTTCTGAAGTCTTTTCTGAAGTATTTTCTGGAGCATTTTCAGGACATTTGCATCTTGTGAGTTTTCTTGATTACTAGCCATTTGACCTGTAATAATGAAAAAAAATAAAAATTAAATGAAAAATATAAAAATGAAATGACAAATAAAAATGAAATGACAAATAAAAGTGAAATGACAAATAAAAATGAAATGACAAATAAAAATGAAATGACAAATTAAATTTTATTGAATGATATAGGCT